GTGGTTGATGTAACTCACACTATGTTGTGTTTCAGCTGCTTTAGTGGTTGATGTAACTCACACTATGTTGGGCTCCAGCTGCTTTCAAGTGGTTGATGTAACTCACACTATGTTGTGTTTCAGCTGCTTTAGTGGTTGATGTAACTCACACTATGTTGGGCTCCAATTACTTTAGTGGCTGATGGAACTCACTGTGATGGGCTCCAGTTACTTTTGTGGCTGATGGAACTCGCACTATGTTGGGCTCCAGGTACTTTCAAGTATTTTATGGAACTTGCACTGTGTTTGGCTCCAGCTGCTTTCAAGTGGTTGATGGAACTCACACTATGTTAGGTTCCAGCTACTTTCAAGTGGCTGATGGAACTCGCACTATGTTGGGTTCCAGCTACTTTGAAATGGCTGATGGAACTCGCACTATGTTGGGTTCCAGCTACTTTGAAATGGCTGATGGAACTCTCACTATGTTGGGTTCCAGCTACTTTGAAGTGGCTGATAGAACTCACACTATGTTGGGTTCCAGCTACTCTGAAGTGGCTGATGGAACTCTCACTATGTTGGGTTCCAGCTACTTTGAAGTGGCTGATAGAACTTACACTATGTTGGGTTCCAGCTACTTTGAAGTGGTTGATAGAACTCACACTATGTTGGGTTCTAGCTACTTTCAAGTGGCTGATGGCCCAACATAGTGTGAGTTCGAAGAGTCTAAGTATTTCTAAGATGCTTGTCAGATTTGGAAGAGTAAGTATTTCTAAGATGTTTGTCAGATGTAGAAGAGTAAGTATTTCTAAAATGCTTGTCAGATTTGGAGAGTCTATGTATTTCTAAAATGCTTGTCAAATTTGGAAGAGTTTAAGTATTTCTAAGATGCTTGTCAGACCTGTCAGATCAGGAAGAGTCAAAGAATTCTTGAAAATCCATAAGAGAATAGATAAAGAATGCAGTGTTAAATAAATTCTATAATTGGCCTAATACTAATGTCTTATGACAATTACAGTTAATTATAAGCATGCTTTTCAAGCTTAGAAAAGGCACTCACACTATAACGATTAAGGCTGATGAAGCTTAAGTTACAGTTGACAATTTAAAAGCACAAAAGGAAAAGTCTACGAAACTTCTCATTCCAATCTGAAAAATTTGGTAAATTTAATCTGAAGTGTTTATATTGTCTGTATGTTGACTTACCTTGTTCCTAGCGGAGATGTTAAGTAAATATGAATGTCTCCTCGACGTATTGCAGAAAGAGTTATTATAGCTTGCACATGTTCAAGGTATTGGATTTCGTCACAATGAACAGTTAAGCTTAACTCTACATGGCTCTGGGCTGGAATTAACCTTTATAAAAATGTACAGTACATTGTAACTATCTTATTAAGAACTTAATAATACCATAAATAAAAGAATAAATTTTATTAAGATGTTTAAGTACAACATATTTTCTTTAGAGGAAATTTGAATGCTAAATAAAAAAAGAAGAGTATAAACATATCAACTGAGAAATCACACACAACATAATATAAAATATGCATCACAGTTTCACAATTTCTACAGTAAAAAAAAGAAACACACCTAATAACAGAATATTCTACCTTATCACTAGAAAGAATTCATAACTTTATTAGTAGTATTTGTTCATGATATTCCAAGTATAAATAAAGCACACAGTTACCTGGACTTTGCAATAAGAAGAAATTTGCGTACCTACTAGGTGAAGAAACACAGGTGTACTGTAGTGAGTTATTTCAAATGGAATGAAAGCAACATGTCATGATGTGAAGTTTAAACAAAAATAAACATTTTATTAATGACCTAACAGAAGACAGAAAAATACCATGTGACATTCCAATAACATTCTACAAATTATTTCCATCATTAGTGTAGTTTGTCAGAAGCTCTGGAGATTCTCTCTCCTCCTGGCAATGCTTCCTCTTCTCTTAGTATGAAAGTATTATTGTGTCCAGCAATAATCCCATCACTCTACAATTCCCCTGAAGTTGTAATCTGAAGTTTGTTGGACTGGGGCTCTAATGTGAAGTCCTATGCCCCTAGTTTGCTTGCCAGAGTTGGGAAAGCAGATTACAACATCACTATGAATGTTGGATTGTGTTCTGTTAGCAAGTCCTTGATTCCTAGAAGAGGCAAGTTAGAACATCATTGGGAAGTGGCTACAGCTATTTGTAATTGTTCCCCCCTTTTCCCCATCACTGCTTCAACTTTCTTTGCTAAACAGGATGGTTCTACAAGTCTTTTAGGGAGTTTCTTGGTGGATCTCCCATCAATCAGTTCAGTAAATTGTTTCTGTCTTCTTTAAGCCATGGTCCTGTGAGGGTGCAAATTCAAATCTCATTTCTGTGGATCCCTCCAACAGGCACATGAAGTAATGTTTGGTTTTTATCCTCTCCTCATGCCATGATGTCAATGGAATATTTTATGAGAAGAAAGATGAGGCACTAGACTGTAAGTTTCTAACCTATGGCACAACTCCAGTTCTTTGGATTTAATAGTTGAAGTGACACTTAATTCTTTCACTTTTCAGATGACAAATCAATGTGAAGATCACTTACTAGAAGGGTGGGCCACAGTGATGGCATTAGAGTTGGAGACACTTTCATGTTGATGATCTTAACAGCTAATAGGGTTTGAACCAAGTCTTCCAACTCCACAGTGGGGTTGATGTTGAGATCAGGAGTATCCATCTTCCTCAAATGACTGAAAGAAAGATCACAAGTCAGGGGTGATAACAAGCCATGGAGGAATGTGCTGGTCATCAGATTCAGCAACATTATCCAATGACAGACCCAATTCAGCCAGCTCAGACACAATCCCAGGTGGGGTGCCAGGATAAGGATCAAAGCTTGGTAGCTTATTGCAAAGAAAGTTGCAAACATTGGATGTAAAGAAAAGGTTCATGGGATTCTTGTGTACAAATGTTGGACTCATGTTTGGAAAGCCCCCATGCAGAGCCAAAGCTCCAGATGGTGCACAGACGTTTTCCTTTTTTGTTGTAATTGTTCACCACTAAAGATAGCTTCTATAAGATGACTTCATATTGTCCAGACAAAACAGCTAGATTAGTTACAAAACTTTGCTCGATATTCTGGAAACTATACCACATTACCACTTTATTTACATTTCATTCTCTTTGGCACAGGTTTTTCGATGAATTTTGCATTCTGGTGTGATTTATGTGAATATTTATCATAGATAGGTTTGCACATGTCTCGGCTCATGCAACACACACACACACAGAGTTATTTGATTAGTTGAGACTTAAATACATCAGGAGAGAAACAACAACAGTGAGAGTTACATTTTCATCACTGAACTTGAGCTTCATCTTCCATAATGTGCTGCCATCTATAGATATATATGCCAAATGCTACTAACACAGAATAAAAGTAAACTAAACATACAAGAAATGTTTGATGGAAAAAAAAACAATAAACAAACACTATCATGCTGTAATTCTTCCTGATGGAGTTCACAGCATAATCATGAACATTATTATACATGTTTCTTCTCTTTTCTCAGTGCATAAATACAAACAGGTACATATACAAGCACTGAAGTTATATTCATCAGATATTAGAGATCTATTTGAAACTGTTCTATGCATTTTAGCTATCATCATGCAGAAAATATCTAATAGGTAACAATAAATTGCACCTAAAAGCTCAGAAAGTAAAGGTCATTATTCTCTTTTAACTATTAATTTCAAAGCTGCTCTGACTGCAGCTCTTACAAATGTCCTAACTCCCAGCTTTAGTAAATGGAAAATCGATAACATCACTGTGGTCATGCTTTCCAGTGTCGTAGTTACTAAGTGGCTATATATCAAGGATATGGACACTATAACATGACCATTCTGTTGACCTGGTTGGTGTTTAACAGTGAAGCTGTATTTCTGCAATTTGATAATGTTATCCAACATGGTATCATACCTTCCACTTCTCTGATATTCAGAAAACATTTCAGTAATGTTTGATCTATTGTAATTAGCTACCATACAAATAGTGTTACAATTGCTTAATGAATACTACAGCTGCAAGCAGTTATTTGTTTGTTGAATAATAACAGCACTTGGCTGACAACAGCATTGGATTGAACATTACATAACATGTTCAAAATGAATAACCCTTATCCTGTAGTCCGCAGACTATTAGGGGGGTCAGGAACATTTCAGAACATACTGTAGTTAAGTAACATATACACACACACACACACACATGTAAGATGTGAAGTTAAATTAATACAATGTTGTATCTGGAAATTTAATTAACTTATCTTTTGTGGATAGACCCAAGTATAGAGATATGCAAGAGATTATCTTCGAGTTGTGAAGGGGTTCATGAAACAAAAAGGGAAGGTTAAGAACTAGTATTCTAAACAAATTGTGCCACCTGCATCTAGAAAGAAAGAAACTCTTTACAGTAACTTCAATCAAGACAAAGTCAACTGAGTTAACTCTGTACACTGCTTGGTGCTAGTACTGAAGAAGAACCAGCAATAAAGCATATATATAATACAAAGTAAAGTCAACAAAGATTCAGACTTCCTTCTTGTTCAACAGTTCAGGACAGTCTGTTACTGCTTTAAGTTTTGGCAGAATCTGTATACACTCTATACCCACTCACTATGTGTCTGAGAAACTGCATAACTTTCAAAGACAAAATGTTTCTCTGGTTTAATTTCAGACATGCTTACCATACAGACTGAAACACTATGCACAGAATTTCAACTGATGCTTGACACATACAGCTAAATACCAAAATATTCTTCAGACATATAATGTAAACCATTTCATTTGGAATTACCACAGTGAGAGCTCAATCAGCTACTTGAAAGTAGCTGGAGCCCAAAACATTGCGAGTTCTATCAACCACTTTAAAGCATCTGGAGCCAAACATAGTGAGAGTTCCATCAGCCACTAAAGTAATTGGAGAAATCTGACAAGCATCTTAGAAATACTTAGACTCTTCCAAGTCTGACAAGCATCTTAGAAATACGGATTCGGAAGAGTCTAAGCATTTCTAAGATGCTTGTCAGATGTGGAAGAGTCTAAGTATTTCTAAGATGCTTGTCGGATTCGGAAGAGTCTAAATATTTCTAAGATGCTTGTCAGATGTGGAAGAGTCTATGTATTTCTAAAATGCTTGTCAGACTTGGAAGAGTCTATGTATTTCTAAAATGCTTGTCAGACTTGGAAGAGTCTATGTATTTCTAAGAAGCTTGTCAGATGTAGAAGAGTAAGTATTTCTAAAATGCTTGTCAGATTTGGAAGAGTAAGTATTTCTAAGATGCTTGTCAGACTTGGAAGAGTCTAAGTATTTCTAAGATGCTTGTCAGATGTAGAAGAGTAAGTATTTCTAAAATGCTTGTCAGATTTGGAAGAGTAAGACAAGCATCTTAGAAATACTTAGACTCTTCCACATCTGACAAGCATCTTAGAAGTA